GTCTGTTGCAGATCTGGCACAGGATGATGATGATGATGATGATGATGAAGTGCACAGAGCTTGCTGTTCATCGGGAATTTGTGCTACAACAAGTATTTTATCTATTATATTATTTTCATACTTTAATATAGAAGAAAAATAATCCCCAACGCCATACCCAGCTGCGATAAGATATCTTGCTATAGTTCTTGTATGTTTCTGAGAAATAGATCTGTCAGCGGGGATGAACAAAATGATCTGCTCTTTTTTCTGTTGTTTTGTTCTCTTTTGATAACATAATATGTGTTTTTTAAAATCTCACAATATGTGTTTTTTGATCACACTATATAATGTGTTTTTTTATCTCACAATATGTGTTTTTTGATTACAGAAAAGGTGTTATTCGATCACACAATAATATGTGTTTTAAAAAAATGTGTTTTTTGATCTCACAGTATCAGTTTTTTTATTACACAATATGTGTGTGTTTTTTTTTTATCTCACAACATGTGTTTTATTATCACCCATATGTGTTTTTTTATCACCCATATGTGTTTTTTGATCTCACAATATGAGTTTTTTTATCACCCATATGTGTTTTTTTAATCACCAATATGTGTTTTTTGATCTCACAATATGTGTTTTTTTTATCACCCATGTGTGTTTTTTTTATCACTCATATGTGTTTTTTGATCTCATAATATGTGTTTTTTGATCACATAGTAGCCCTACGTGTTTTTATTCCAACAATGTTTGCCCCGGGAGGAGTCTGGAAAAGCCTGCAAAAGGAGTGACTCTTTAAAGCCTCAAACCTTATATCCGATTTGCGGAAACTAAGTGTAGTGGCCTTTTCTAGGATATCTTTATTCCGCGGGACATTTTTATGGAACTTCAAAGAGATTCGTCCGATTTCAGATGCCTTATTTTGTCATTTTATCTGCTCAATTATTTTTAAATTCCCATATTCAATCGGTTATGCATTTATTGTCATGTATATTTCTGAGAGATAGATCTATCAGCGGGATGAACAAAATAATCTAGTATTTTTCTGTTCTTTTGCTCCTTTTGGTTGTGAGGATGTGGTTGAGATCAGACGAAAACAAAAGTTAGACTCTCAAAATGTCTACCTTGTGACCTTCACTGACAGTGTGGTACATACATACATGTATATCACACAGAGGTCTGTTCTGGACAGAATTGTTTTTGAAAAAAAGATACGAACCTGGTAGTGTGCAATCTTGTGTGAGAGAGAGAAAGTGCAGGTATATTTCGGAAGATTCTTGCAAAATCTTGAAGCCAGGAGTACAGTGAGTTGTTTTAAATACCCTACCTTTTCTTACCCCCCACCTTTTCTTTCGTAACCACCCCCTCCCTCCCCCCTTCCTCC